TACTGAACGGTTCAGTCGATTTTACAGCTTCTGAGCAGGGTTGGCAGTGCTACAACCCATCAAGTACAATACTCGTGCATTCTCTGGCTCACGCTATAGTCCAATTCACTATTCATGGACCAAGGTATGGCCAAGCGTTCCTTCGATGGCATCCTTCATCATGGCTGCTAGGGCCCCTGCGTTCCAGCTTAGAAGCCCTGCTTTGCAACCTGAGCCTTGGCAGCAGCAATGGTTGCCGCCTTGTTGGGGTCGACAAAGTTGCAGCCGTTCTTGCCATTCTGGAACTGCGCGGCCTCGGCCGAGCAGACGCCGACGCCGCTGGCATCCGCGCAGCATGCGGAAGAGCAGTCAGCGTTATCGACACAGCCTCCGGTGATGAACTGAGCTCCGTTGCCCTGGCCGACGTTCTTGGCACCGGCGTTGTTGGGGGTGATTGCGAGTGCGGTCATCGCAACTGAGTCGCGACTGAGTTAGCAGCAATACTCTGATCGGAGGGTCCGCTAGGCTGGATACTCACAAGCGAGAGTGGCGAAGAGAGTGATGCGGACCATTTTTTACGAGTGTTGGCTTGGTTGGTGATTAAAGAAAGATTTTAAGATAAATGCGACTCCAGGTCGTTGAAGCGAATGTGCATGCACTGTAGATTGATAAGAGAAGGATTGATGAAGAATCAAGACCCTCTAGCCCAGAGGCAACGAGTCTTTAAATACTCAGTCTCGCTGAATGTCTCGACTGACAGAGTTTCGTAGCTGTGGACATTGGTCCCCTGTCAATCGAGCATCCCGCCGGCCCTGGCATCGTGACACTTTCCCGTGAGACGAGTACCAGCAATTCTGAAGTGATTCCCTAGGTGCCTGAAACTTGGCAATGGAAATAGCACGGCCGTCACCGAATCGCTACTCGTTTTGCGGCTGAACTCTTCCCAAACTCCATCGGGTTCGGATCATGACATGTGTCATCCGAACGGATAGATCGGTCAGTTGCGGTTTGATCGTCGTCTGAACCACGTTTTGCGCAACGTCTGCTATTAATGCGCACAGGACCACTAGGGGCCAACTTGCGATGGTCAACTGACGATCTTCACTCGTTCATCTCACCACACAAGTGAGTATCAATCGACCAGTGTTGCTCATGTCCATTCGCTGTTCCTTGATCATGCGATGACGCATCCGCAGAAAATAGTTTCTCAGTGATTTTGATCATCTTGTCATCACGACAGTTTAGTAGTTAGATTCGTGCATATTGAAGTTGCAGGCGTCAAAATCTGTGAATTTCAGGTGGTTTCAAGGCATGAAAGTAAAATCTTAAGTAGAGGGCAGGTGTCCAAGGCCATTTTTTCCCTCCAATCTTCTGGAATCATTCCTCTGTACTACCAAAAAGCTGCCTCCGAACTTGTCGTCGCTAGGTCTCGATTCCCAGCCGAGTCTTTGGTGGACATGTGTCTGTGACTGCTTTTACTTTATATTGTTTTCTTAACATCCTCCTGCTTTGTAGTAGGTAGAAGGCCACAATTGGACTGTCTGGCCCGAATCATCGCGGTGAGTATGTACTTATTGAGATAGTCCTGTCAAGGTCACCTGGAAGCAAAGACCATGGATCTTCTCCCATCTTCGTCTGTGTAGAGCATGGGCTAATCGTTTTCTAGGATGAACATGTAATAAGCCGTTAGCGGATAGGTAAAGCTCTTGCTCTTTACACAAAACCAGGTCCAAGGCAAGATTGCCAGCATCATGGTGTGTTTAAAATGCTCATGTACGAGCCTCAACTCGAAATAGCAATGCCGTCTTGGCTGCATAACCGCTGCCTACGTTGGGATGCGAGCGGAAGACTGCGTCAATAACCCTTGAACGGACCGAAACTGGTTATATGCTTGAGTCGTACAAAGCGTAACGCCAATTTGGATGTATTTGAGGACCTTTACTTCATTGGATATAGAAGAAGATGGATTGGTTACACTGAATGTATCTCAAGCTCGCCAGAGGCTCTTCGCAGAGAAGAAGGAAGTCTCAGCCTTCACCGCGTCGCGCTAGGCATTGCTGTACTACTTCACAAAGTTCACGTGGCGAGAGAACTCGAAAACGGGCGAGTTCAATTGTGTCGCACACCCTGATAAATGAGAGTCGTCTCCTATTCTCCTTTTGCCGCGACCTGTGGCCATGTTGACAAAGACCTTTTGAACTTCTCTGTTTGAACTCCGAGCCATTCATACGGATACGGATAGCATTTCATTGGAGTCACCAGCTTTGTATTAACCCAGAATAGAGTCGATATGTTGTTTTGGTACTCCATGAGAAGTGCCTATCTGCTTTTGGGGGTTCGATCCTTCCTCGAAGTTCACACATGGGAAATATCTGATGTGCCGGACCCGGACCTGTTCCTTCGAAGAGGCCTATCTAATGGTATCAAAGAATATCTGGCTAAGTAAAACGTCTAAGAAGAACGATCGGCTAATATGTGATGTGGCTTCAGTTGTTGTTATCGGTAACTTTCTCTACATCGATGGCGGAGAGGTCTCTCAGCTCGATGCCGAAGGAAAACCATATACTTCCTTTGATTACGGAGTCAACCAAACCTATGGCTCTCACCCAGGTCAGTACTTTAGCGAAGGTATCTTCTCGGGTCTCAACGCTTCTCTGACAGACGGATAACGTAGTCAATTCTACCCTCTCAATCGACTTGTCGGAATCTTGGTCCCCCGCCAACGTTTCGATCAGATCGATACCGAAAGAACCATACGGTATGGATAGGCAAGCATTGTGGGAAAGGGCAGATAACGACTCATTCTATATATGGGGAGGACACACCGCCAACACCCTCTACTTGAAGGACGAATCGCTGTCTACTGGGTCGTGGAAGTTCCAAGCCGATGGCACTGGTGGTGGCCAGTGGTTGAAAGAGACCCCCGAAAACCCAACAGAATTCACAGAGCTAGTGAGAAGTGAGGACGGAGCATTTGCCAGTACCCCTCACGGTGGCTTTTGGTTCGGGGGTTGGGCGGGAACTCGAACGAAGGTATACATGACTAACGGCGAAGCGGACTTAGCTCCAGCTGGAGCTACTCCAGGTATGATTGTTTACGATTGGAATACCAAGCTGTGGTCGAATGAGACGACCGCTTTCAAGGCTGCGTTTCCTCCCTACGGGACAGTGAGAGGTGCAAGAGCACTATATGTCCCCGACTTTGGACCAAATGGCATAGTCGTGCTCCTCGGTGGCTTCATGGCGACCTTGGAGCCAATAGTAAGCGGAAGCGATAGCCTCCATCAATGGATGGACATATCCAACGTTACGTTCATGGATCCGGTCTCCAAGAAATGGTATAGCCAAAGGACTACAGGATCTGCTCCGACTAGACGACAGTGGTTCTGCCTGGTAGGACTCAGGAGCAAAACTACATATGAGATGTCAGTATGATGGAACAGTGTCTCGAGCCAGTCAAAGTGTTAACAAAGACAGATTCTTGTTCGGCGGAACAGCTGGGTTCTCTAACAGAGCATACAGCGATGTCTTTGTATTAAGTCTACCAGGGTTTGTTTGGAGACAGGTGCAATTCGACGACGTATCTCCACGAACGGATCATCACTGCGCAGTAGTAGGAAATCGCCAGATGGTTGTTGTTGGTGGAAGAACCACAAGCAAGAGTGTGGGTAATTTGGAAGGATGGGCTCTCCGAGATCCGTGGCCGCAAGGGCTTGGTTTGTTCGACTTGGTGGAGTGGACCTGGAAGGACGATTACAACGCTAGCGCTGGTGCTTATCGCAGCCATGAAGAAATTCAACGCTGGTATCGTGAGAAGTAAGTCTGCAGTCCTGAAGAACTAGGGTGAAAGCTAAATAACAGGTTTAGGGGTGTCGGTTCTGTGTCATGGTCATCGGAGGAAGTCAAGACTTTCTTCGTGCCGACAGCGAAGACCACACCCATCCCCACACCCATCCCAACAGTATTCCCTCCAGCTATGCCGAGGGCTACAGAAGCCTCGAGTAATACTATTGCAGGGGCCGCCATAGTTGGGATTATCTTAGCTGTTCTTGCATTTCTGGCAATCATGTGGATTGACGGCCGTTCGGAGAGACCAATCTTCGTACCACCGCCTGTCGATAAAACGAGCTCAACGAACAACACTATGGATGTCCCACTTCAGACAAAGGAACTTGAAGCGGACCCTACTCCTTGTCTAGTAGAACCGAACTCGGACCCAAAGACTATAACAGAGCTTCCAGTGGCCTCAGCGATCGATCACAGTCCTTATCAAGACGAGCCGAGCAAGGATCCGACGCTCAGAACAGAGATTCCGGTGGCCTCGGTGGCCCCAGTGGTCGAAATTTATTCTTACTACGATGACCCGAGTGTGGAACTGAAGGCTAGAACAGAGCTCCCCGTATCGGCGGCCGATTATCTTCCTTGCCCAGCCGAGCTGAATACGGATCCAACGACCAGAACAGAAGTTCCTATGAACCCGATGGTCGGAAATAAATTGAGCCTTCCCGTGGAGCTCGACGCTTTGTATAGTCCCGCCAATACTGTAATCAGGAATGTTCCAGATGGATCAAGGCATGATCGCGCCAAGCTTATCGAATGAACTGCTCAGTCGGCTTCTGGTCACCATTTGAAATAAGGAGACGTTTGGCAATGATTTGAGTCAAGAATTGAGATATTCAATTACAGTGAAGAGTGTGGAAAAAACACCTGTGGCCTCAGCATAATGCTCGAAGCAGCTCCTCGTTGACATGAGCTATTTGCTTCGTGTTGTCACCCTGACATCAATGCCTCTCTTTTTATAATGGCTTGGCGACTTGTCATATTCATCCAGAAGACTCGCATATTCGTGTAGACTTTGACCGATCGTTCTCATGATCGGCCAGGCGCTATTGCATCTTTCAAACATCTTGGCGAATAACTTGATCACCAAGTGACCAAGAGTCTCCAAAGAGTGTGAGGTGTTGTCTTCCAGAGTACTCAGATCGTATCCGTCAATTGCTTCGACCGAACCTAAAGCCTCGTTAACAACACACTCTATCCAACTTATTATCTGGCGTTCATTTACTTGGTCTCGCGTCAGTCTTGGCATCGGCATTTTCGTTGGATTATGTAACTTACTATCCAACTCTCCCGTATCCTGTGTTTCTGCGAGCATATACAGCCATTTACTGAGAAACACTGCCGCCTCAAAGGAACAGAAGCAGTGTTGCAGACTCCAGAAGAACGCCTGGCAGCTAGCCAAGTAGTCGATACCGAGTTGCACAGGAATGTTCAATGCGTGAACCGCATGTAGAAGAGCGTAGACGAGCTGAGGCCCACGTTCTGGCGGCCGAGCATCCCAAGCATTGCCTGCAATGGTCTTTGGGTTTCCGGAACAAACCTCTTGCGGTCTTCTCGAAGCAAAATGCAGGCGTACATGAGCTAACCCAAGCAGAGACGTCGCTGTCCAAGAGAGAGACCCCTTGGTATGCCTAACGTCTAAAACGGACTCGGGAGCCTTGCACCATTGGTCACGCCACCGGTGTAGCGATGATTCGAATTTCGCAACCTCTTCGGGTGCGTACCCCGGAGATGCAGGATCCAGTGAGAGTTGTTTTGCGACTATGAGGCGCTGCAGGATCGCGTGTATCATCACAAAGTTTCCAAAGGGTGAAGGAACTGGACATTCTTCCGTGCGAGGTTGGACCAAGTTGACAAACGCCTCTTGGAAGCGAACGAGCGGCGGACTCTTGCTACGAGTCTCTAGCCACAACGCAGCGCTAGGCGCCATCCATTCATCACAAGTTACTGGCAGCCACAAATCAATCTCATTCGCCAAGATGACCGGCGGAACGTTGAAGACCAGTGTTTGAAGGTTCAAGAAGCAGAATGCGGCGAGCTTCGCCCTGCGATCTGACTCAGCTCGTGCCCAGGAATGCCAGTCCAGGTCTTCGTCGGTGTGAGAGGCATCATTTACAAGTCCGCTCTCCCGCAGACACCGCGCGAGGAGGCCTGGGTACTCGAGGGATTCTCGAACGATACAGGAGTCCTCTTGCCAGGTAGAATAGGTTGCCAACAACAAGATTGCCTTCATAGTGTCTAGGCGTGAGGCTGCAGCAGAGATATAAGCTTCTTCTCCTGCCAAGGCAAGAGAGTTAGACGGCCTGGATATTCCACATAATCCTCCAGGCTGGATCGCCAACTCTCCTGATTCTAGTCGATGCAAGATTATTGCCCTTCCAGCTCGGTACAATGCGGAAGCGTTGCGTGTCTCATATCGAAGTTGAGCACCGACGGCTAAGAGTGCCAGCACCAGCTCTGGAGACTCTCGATAATATTTCATGCAGAAGGTTGGCATATGCATGAAAGGATGGTGATCATTGTATCCGTCAATATACCCAGCAATGTATCTTGACAACGATAACCTGGAAGGAAGTTTAAATGATCCTAGCGCCGCAGCGTATGGGTTGAGATATTGAATGAATTGACTTCGTTGAGATTCGTTCACTTTCCAGGGTTGCCGCAAAGGTTTCAGTTCGTGAAAATCATCTAAGTTGTCGAGGAGACATTAAAACCATTGATGCCGAAGGGTTCATCAAGGGCATGAAGGATATAATCGCAACCTACCTTCACCAGTACCAGCATCTGGGATTGGATTCATGTTCCGCATCGGTGGGGGTCCATTCGACGCCAGTTCGTGACTCTCAGGAGTTGACTGATACCGGCCCGTGCTTGGAGCCGATGAATCGATATGTTCGGATTCCTGAAATTGCCCTGTGGTGAATCCTGTGGACGGGAAAAGATTGAATCCGTGTTGGATGTCTAGGCCGACAGCGTCGAAGAACTCAGAGATGTCAAGCATAGCCTCCATTGGACTACTGGGCAGGTTTAGTGACTCAGGGTTGTTGCCATAAGAGACCTGTTGCATGAGCTCTTGAGGAGCTGCGTCTTGGTTCCCCAAGTGCCCTAAAGCGTTCAATGTCATTTGGCTAGTGGCTTGCATGACTCCATGGTAGACTGGCCATGGGTTGAGTGCCGCCGAATTTTGGTCCTGGCCTGCACTCATTGTGGACGTCGCCAGTGGAGTAGCAGCATCCCCCGTAGCGTGGTAGAGTCGCTCGTGGCGGGTAAGCAGATCCCGCCTGGCAAAGGCTTGTCCACAATGGCATTCATACGGCTTTTCTTTCGTGTCTGGGGAGCAGAATGATCAACATCGTTAGCAGACGCCCCATCGATACTAAAGCAACCTATACGACACGTACGCGTTCTCAGATGTCTTCTTAGATGCTCGCCTCGAGCGAAGGTGCGATGACACACATGGCAAGCTTTTGACATGTTGGCGTGATCTCTGTCAGGGCTATTTTGCAGCCACATAATGTCGCTTTGAAGAAAGGAGGAGTGGAAGCAGCACCACTTGACTGTCGACTTGGGCAGTGAGAAAAGAGGAATGCCCATGCATTGTCAGGCCATTTGTAATCACGTTGATTACCTATGCAATGATGTGCCATCGGCGCGTGTAGCTTGCTCATAATGTTAGATAAGCCCAGGCCCATCCGACCAAAGTACCAAAACCAAAGCGGATGACTCTTGTACTCTGAAGTCTGCCTCAATTCGGTGGGCGCAACCGCCAACAACAAAACATCAAATTTCAGGTGACATTAATATAACTCAACGATGTCTTGATGGGCACCGTGATGACATGATGATCTTGTGCAACATTGATGTGACGAGATTAGACTTCATGGGCTTCGACACGAAGGGTCTCCGGGTTTACAAATGGTGGTGTCTCCAACCCCACCGACCTTCAATGGAATCGGGGCCATCGCCACTGAGTTGGGGTACCCCAACTGTTGAATCGGTGCATCTCGCTGGCTATTACCTTAGTAATACCAGGTGCAATTGCTCTAAAGTGTTTTATCGAGCAGACAGACTGAACATCTTACCATCTTTGAAGCAGTGGCTTTTTTTGTTTTTTACTTCGTCATTTTTTGCGACGTGGGTCTTGCCAAGTCGCCCAGAGCACTAGCTGTTCAGTGACAGGCGACTTTAAATTTTGGGTATCAATAGCTCAGAATTTCCTCTCAATGAAGATGGATCTTAAACAAACGTAAGGGAAACTTTCAATTTATAATTGTTCACCAGATGTACTATCCTTCTACATTCTATGGGCTTTCACATTGCTTATAGGTAGTGGCTACTTTTCGAAAGGCCTCTTTTGGTGCCCACGGTGGCATCGCTTCCGACCTCAAAGGCAGCCGGTAGCAGCCACAATGCTTGACGATCGGCTTCTACCCACTTAGTTCATTGCATAATTTCTAAGTACACCTACAAGACGGGTACTAAGACTCCTCTGATTGAAACTGCTCCTTTGGTAAAAAGTCCTCTCATTCCCGACTGCCATAGCCCTGTCCAGCCGATGACAGTAGTCTCTGTCTCTCTTCTACGGCATCCAACTCAGGCTTTTCTTCTGTGACAAAAGTGCGACCTTTGATAGCGACGAATGCCGTTAAAAGAGCCCCGATTATGGTGCCTGATGCGCCAAGCGTGACGTTTACAGGCGTGGGATCACCGTGTAGGGGACCGTGAGTAAGAGCATCCAGCCCAGATTGCGCGAAGTTTACCAGGCCTGAGACGCACACAATCGTACCGTAGATACGACCGAAAGTGGCGAAACCAAAGACTTTTGTTGCGTAGTCCCTTTAAACTTGATCAGCGCACGAACGTATGATCCAAAAGACAGCAAGACTAAACTTACGAGATGGCCGAGTAGTATAGGGGGCGAAAGATGACAAATAAGACAACTGTAGCATAGCCCGCCCACGCGAAGGGTAGGCAATTGAGGAGGCCAATGGCAAAGATCAGGGTAGTCAGCGCGCCAAAGGTTGCCGGTACACTGAGATTATTGAGGAGAATCCCAATGAATGGGGTGGAAAGCAGTCCACCGACAGGCAAGGCAATATCGAAGAAACGGTTGATGTCTTTGGCGTCGGCCTCAGAGCCCAACATGCATCGGTATTGCGCATGGACAGTCGCGATGAAGTAGTTCATCCTCAACATCTGAACGATCGTCAAAAGCAAGATGAGGATGAACCATGGACTCTGGATCTGCTGGTGGGCCGGAACACCATGCAGAACTCCCCAGACTCCACTGGCTTCCTGACGCTCCTCGTTTATCTTGACACGCTCTTCACGCTGCTCAGCATCGCCAGCGACTTCCTCAATTTGGCCAAGCTTTGACAACCGTCGATCGGTTCGGGCACTGCGTACTTTGCGCAATTGCCTTACGTCGTCAATTTCATCATCGGACTCATGTACATCGTGCGTCTCGTCTTGAGCTTTCTCAATCTTTTGTTCCAGCTGAGGAATTGAATGATAGGACCGGACGGGCATGTACGCGAATTCGGCCAGAAGAATTAGCAATGGAACGGCGATGTAGGTGCAAAAGAACTTCTCAAGTGAGAGCTTGCCTTCTGTCGCTGCATATGCCGCACGGTAGATTAGGAACACAGCAGCCGACGCGTCAAAGGCCCCAGTGACCAGTGCGATGATGTGTCCACTGTACTTGGGAAATGCGTTGGCGAGCTGGAAGCTGGAAACAAAGACAAAGGTTCCACCGAGGGCAAGCATGATGTTTCCAAGGAAGTACCCGTCAAAGTAGGCGAATTTGCGTGAGACTGCCATGAGGAGGCATCCTAGGGTGAGGCATACGCAGGAGGCGATCCAGCAAACTCGTCTACCATAGCGATCAAGGACAGAGCCGGCCAACAGCGAAGACACATTTGCTGTAACAGAGGCGGCGATGAAGAACAAGTTCAACCTGAGGTCTTGCTCGGTGCATGGAATGTAGTCGCCGTTATCCACCGCGCCCGGATCGTTGGCATCGCAAAGATCGCTGTAGACACCTTCGGCGATGAGAACAGGTTTGAGGGCCGCGAATCCGAAAACAATGCCCGCAGCTAGCCAACATGCCACTATGCTAGTCGCTACTTGTACTGCAAGGCGTTAGTTCCGAGGTTGGAAGATTCTCTAGAATCTAGACTGTGGATCTTACCCCATCGTCTGGTGTTAGAGACCTTGTAAGCAGCAATGGGCTTCTCGGCGCGTACGGTCTCAATAGGCGCAAAGCTCAGTCGTCTCCATTGCGGCTCATCACTACTACTCTCGGTGTTGGATATGTTGAGTGTGCCGAAGATAGCCTCGCCATTGCCAGTTGATTCGATCTGTTCTGTGGGACGTTCGTAGTCAAAGCCTTCGGCCTGGGTGACGTGCTGGGCGAGAGACATTACCCGAGTATTGCTGAAATAGCGATGCTTCGCGAAAGAGTATTGCGAATGGTCTAAGAACTTAGAAAATGGATACTTTTACGAGTAGGAGGAAGCCGAGAGAATAGTCTATAAGATAAATAGGGTGAAGGATTTTTTCTTCTCCAAAGGGTTCAAGAATCGAAGAGAGTCCTCGCATTTCCATCGTACCACGTTACGACGTTGCGGCGAATTGTCCTGCCGTGCAACGTGCACGCGACCGTAGGATGCCGTGTCAGTGACGTAACAGAGAAGAGTTAAGGAAGGGTGGGGAGAGAAAGTTCGAGCTTTCCAGCAATTTCCAATGCCGGGATACTCGGGCAAGGGGCCGGCTATCGGGGTGGGGCTTTGCCGGGGTTGGCCCCAGCGACGTTGACGGCCCGGACCGTAAGCGGGGACTCGGCCCCGGTCCTGGCTCGCTAGCTGACTTTGCTGGCAGAACAGTTAGTTGTTCACCGGCATGGGCTCCTTATACTGGCGAGAACGGAAATGTTTGCGGTAGGTAAGCGGCAGCCAATGCCGTTAGGCAAACTCGATATCGGCTCGTATCCGGGATTGGTGTAGGTTTGTCTACCTTATTCGACTCGGTAACCTGCAGGAAACCCCGCTGCGACTAAATTTACGGAAGTAGGACTATGCCGGAAGGAGAGATCATAGATTCACTAATATTAAGTAGGATAAGTGTCATTGGAACGGCCAACAGCCGAAAATTGCTAGGGAGCAGGCGGAGAGGTACTAATATCGATATGCTCATATCAATAGGCGGAGTGATTTCGTGGATACGTACGTTTCCTGCAATGGGCATATTAAAGATCGTTCTGATTGTCAAAATGAAAAAGAAATGGTGAGCCTCAAAAAATCATCTAGAACGAACATTGAACAGCGGCGCCTTTCAAGAAGAGAAGCCTTTCGGGAAGACTGGAAGCCCTTAACTCGATGTCTCCAAGTCTCCAACTTCATAGTGGGTCCAACCCCAACACTTGCATTTGGAGTTACCTATCTACTTTTTCGAATCTCTTGTGCTCCTAGTAAGACGAGAACATCTGTACCACAGTACGTGGTCTCAGTTGGAGCACTCGAAGTGAGTTCGATCATTGAAGGCCGAAAATTTAGCCGTAGAATGTGCAAGTTCAGGATCTCAATTCCCCCGATCGAATACAAGCTTATGGGATCTCCAAGTCAGGCAGACTTTGCGCTGGCTGGAATCTCTCCGAGCACTACATAATTTGTCATCCGGATCTCTAGGCATTGTCATATTATTGCGAGCCTAGGTACTTGATTGGCCTTGAAAGGAACTGCCTTGAACATCACCTAAGGTAAGGTAGGTGTGAGAGAGATATTTCCTACATAAGGCAAGGCAAGAGTCCTCGAATCAGTACAGGAATTCCTACAGCAGCATCGGAACATCATCGTACCGACTATCTCAGCTATCACGCGATTAAAACATTCATTGATCATGAAAGAAGCAATCTTTGACTGCAATCTCAAGGTTGAGATCCACGACATTCCGATTCCAATCCCAGGTCCCGGACAGATCTTGATCAAGAACGTCATTTCTGGGACCAATCCGAAAGACTGGAAGGTCCCCAAGATTTGGGCACCGCAACTACCTCCCCTCAACCATGGAGATGATATTGCTGGCTTTGTTAAAAGCATTGGTGAAGGTGTCCTCGGCTTCAAGGAGGGAGACCGGGTTGCGGCCTTCCACGAAATGAACACCCCACATGGAAGTTACGCTGAATACTCCATCGCTTCGGCTCAGTCG